AATCAGACTCCGTAAAGGGGTACAGTAGTCTGGAAAAGTTGAGAGACACTGGTTTATAGGATAGACACACAAAAATTAGAATATATTACATTTTCACATAAGAACCCTGATGCTAAAAGTTACATCTGATGGATAGACATATATACCCACTACCAAAATGCACATAGTCATTCACCGATTAACTGTGTGATCCTATGATTCTAACCCTTATCAGCTCTTCCTGTACCAGCCTTTGGTTTGTTCATTTGCTTTGTCCTGTTTAAATTTAGGCCCTGATCCTGTGAAGACTTAGCCAAGTGTTTACCATTAGGCACTGTGAATGGTTTCATTGAAGTAAACTGAAGACTGCTCACAATGGGTAAAGTTGAATAAAAGTATAAGTTTTTGCAGGATAGGGGCCCTTTTTTTTAAGCTCCTGTGGGCACATTTTTTTACCTGTTTTTGTAAAGTTTCTAGCACACATTTGGATGGACAAAAACCAACAATAAAACAATGTTAACAGTTACACTGCTCAGTACCCTTGGATAGAGAGTACTGCTGACGGACCAAAGGGGTAAAGGTCTGAGAAAGGAGAGAAAGTCAGAGACAGGAAACCTCCCTGGATCTGATCCTACCCCCACTCCCACTTGAGCAGTGGTGGGCAACCTGCAGCCGCGGGCTGCACATGGCCCATCAGGGTAATCCGCTCGCGGGCCGCGAGATAGTTTTTTTACATTGACCGTCTGCAGGCACAGCCGCCTGCAGTTCCCAGTGGCTGTGGTTCAGCGTTCCCAGCCAATGGGAGCTGCAGGCGGCCGTGCCTGCGGACGGTCAATATAAACAAACTGTCTCGCGGCCCGCCACCGGATTATCCTGATGAGCCATGTGCAACCCGCGGGTCTCAGGTTGCCCAGCACTGCACTTGAGCTAAGTGCAGTTTCTCCACTCATTTAAACAGGGCTTCCCAGGCAGAGCCAAGTCTGTGCTGGGAGCACGAAAGAAGCCAGGCTACATGTGCCTTCACTGTCATACTTTCTGCTTCAAGTGAATCCAGAAGACACAACATGAGGCCTGTGACATAAAACCACCACCACCAGGCAATCCCTGCCTAGGTAAGGAAGTAGTTATGCTCCTTTAAATCCCTTCATTTTCACTGGCATCTGAATTAGCCTTAGTAGATGGAACACTAAGAGGTTATTTGGGGTCAGAAAATGTACAAATCTAAGTAATGTTGCAATGCCCAATGAAATATTCAGAAGTACAGCACTAGTGGCATATTGTAAAACTTTATCATTAGAAATAGACTAACATGAGGTCCTCATCTCTGCTTCTGTGGAATACAGAATGCCTCTCTTGGAAACCTGTTCTTTTACCTATTTGTCCCTGTTCTGCTGCTAGTCAGGAGAGGTTTCCAGCCCATATCATCTTTCATATCGAAGGCTTTTTGTTGGGGATTATAGTCACTGATTAGCTAGTTTGTAATGCTTGGCAAAGCATCCTCGGGTGAGCAGGTTACTATAATTCTGCTGTGAAATCATATTAATAGAGTGAATTCTATCAGCAGCATTTTCTGGGGGGTTTGAAGGGAGAACCCAGGTGCTGCTCTTTGCATAGCTCTCCTCACTTCTTTGCATATTGACTTTTATTCCCCTGTGAACAAGCCGTGTATTCCTTTCTGGAGTGTTTAAACGAGGCTCCAATCATTACAACATGCTGGAGAAAAACCATCATTGAATGGCCCATTAAGCTTGATGCTGGCTCTGAAGAGAGGAACAGCTTCCTTCAGTTGGCAATATGCTTGCAGGTTAGTGGTGGTGCAAAGAGTAGCAGGTGACTGCAGTCTGGCTGCACTTTCGCGGTTCTGTCTTGTCTCTGTTGGTCAGTCAGTGATGTACTGGAAGGTGCTGACTGGGGCTTTCCCTTTTTACATTTCTGGCACCAAACCCCAGGGAGAGAGAGGTAATGTCCGGTGCTGCTGGCAGACCTCTTAGGTTACGCTGCTTAAAGTCCTTTTGTTTAAGGGACAGATTCTCCAGCCCCTCCTCTCTGCGCATACCCACAGCCCTGAGCACATGCTAAACTGGGTTTAGCACAGGCTAAGCAGGATCCCCTTACTGACTGTCACATCACTAGGCCACTTCTCCCTGACAACTGGGCCAGAGATTATTTGCACCTGCAGATCCATCCCAGGATTTCATTGAGCAGTCTTGTCTTGGGTGACCAGGGAACCAGTTAACAGGCACCTGACTCATGCAAAGTCCATGGCTTATTTGGTTAATACCATCCACTGTTAACTGAGGACCAAGCCCTATTTTGCATTCATTACTGAAGCCTGGCTGGATATTTTAAGTCCAGTGTGTTCTAGATGAGAAGTTGGTTCAACTTGAACCAGGAGAGGGTTTGGTATCAGCTATAGCAATTACAATATTATTGATATGTATTGTTATATGTAGTATGGTAGAGCAGGGATCAGGACCCCTCTGAGCTAGGTGCTGTACACACTTAAGAAAAAGACAGTCCCTTCCCCAAGGAGCTTGCAGCTGCCCTTTGAAGTAGGAGGTACCTTACCCCCAAAAAGGGTTTGTTTTAGTGTGTCTGGCAAGGCGAGGGTTAAGATGGGAATAGCTTTAGTCCCATCTGTGTGTCAGAGTCTGTGTCTTGGCCTGGTGCTAGCTAGGTTGGCTTGGCAATTTCACCATCAATGTGGGGGTCTTATCCATGAAAGAGAACTCGCAGGGTCGCATGGCTACCCCGACAGCCAGCAGACAATGCCAGGCTGTCTGTGGCTCAGTGTGCCCAAGTGGGTGTTTTGGGCTATCTTGGGGGGCTCAAAGGGGGGCATAGAGACTAAACATTCATTGGGAGTGGCCCATCACCTCCATCAGGTCACACCGGTGCCCTCCTCAGGGCAGAGGGTCTCTTTCACTGGGCTACCCTTGGAAAGTGCTGGCACTAGCGGGGTTTCAGATCAGAGCTGGAGTCCTGTCTCCCTTGGTTGCTCTACTGAGGGCCTTGTAGGAAACTACATTTATCTCGTGTCATCTCTATGGCAGCTCCTAGATAGCTGCACTCCCTTTACTCCGGTGACATATGAAGCCTTAGGGGAGGAGACCAGAGCATTGAGGAAAGCAACAGCGCTTGCTCTGACTGGCCTAGCATCGGCTGTCCTGTGGCTGTGCAAGGGCTTTCCTCTGCTAGAGCAGCTGCCGAGCCTTGTCCAGTGAACCTGCTGCAGACAGCACAGTGGCACCATCTCACTGTGGGGAATTCCTCTCTGCTTCACGGCCACACTTGACTGGCTCTGAGGCAGCAGCGCTGTGTGTCGCTACTCGACACTACTGTTCGGTTCTGACTTTCAACTGCTCTTGCTCCCACGGGTTCCGGAGCTGCTTGAAGAACTGTGGTCTGCCACATGTGAGATGAGCCATAGGATGGGACAGTGGCTAGAGAGAGCAGCCTGGCACTTGTGATGCCTGAGTGCAATTCCCTGCTCTGCCACAAGTTTCCCGGGGGCCTTGGGCACGTCACTTATAGCCAGATTGTCAAAGGGGTGTCAGCACCTGGGGGGGTTCAAAAGCACTGAGGTGGGCCAGTGATCTAACCAGGCACCTAAGTACTGTGCTCATTCCTGTCTCTGGGCCTCCATTCCCCAGCTGGGGCTCCCAGCACTGCCCTGCCTCTCAGATGGTTGTGAGAATAAATAGAGTGAAGCCTATGGATGCTCAGACACTGTGGTGATGGGGGCCGGATAGTAGCTGAGATAGAAAAGGCAGGGCTGGGGAACAAGGCTACCCTTACACAAATGGCTGTCTGACCTCATTTTTGCCTGCCCTCCCTCTCTGGTCTTAGGACGCCTGTCGGGCACAAATGATGCCATCTGACTCCTTTAACCCCTCCGAGTCTTGCTTTAGGCCAGGAGCTTGCCCCCATCTCTGCATCTGAGCTAGGAATGGGCTGTGACCAGGTCTATCAGCAGCCAGGCCCAGAGCTATGAGGGGGCAGGCAAAGGGGATATTTGCCTCCCCAAATAATCTTCAAGGGGCCCCAGATTATTGTCAGAAAGGCCAAGCTATATGCAACATGTACAGCCTTCATCCTTTATAAATCACAGCTAAAACTGACCCAGTAGCCAAACGTTCCTTTTTTAACCTGGCCAGGACTCCGGTAAGGCTGTTTGTTTTTTAACTAGCAGCATCCAGGGACCCCAAGCCACCCCCTTGCCCCTGACAGCAGTGAGACCCTAGAACTGGCCCCGTCAGCAGCCTCTACTACAGACCACGAGGTTTCGTTTGCTGTGCGGTGGGTCCCGGCAGGAGGGGGTGGGGTTGTGCTTGAGACTCCACAGGGAGTTACTGGGGGGCTGCTTCTCTGCCCCAAGGGCTGCCACATGAGACGCTGCAGGACTGTGTTTCACTGGGTGTTGAGGCTATGGGAGGAATAGTGAGGCTGCCGGCTCTAGTGCCAGGTGGATGCTGATCATGCTTGGCTCTGGGATTAACTTTCATCGGACTCAGCCAATGCCATGTCTCTGCTCTCCTGGCACCTGGCCAAAGCAGCAGCTTGGTGGAGGGCAAGAAGCTCAGATTCCATGCTGGCCGGATGAAAGTGACATGGCTACTGGCCCTCGGGTAAGAATGCCCAGGAGGAGGAGATCAAGACCTCAGCTGGCCCAGCAGGCTGCAGCAGCACAAAGCTCCAAGTCCCATAGGGGCTTTATCCAAAGACTGCTGAGGTCCTTTAAAGATCACAAGCGCTTCGTTATCTGATCCCTGGAGACCCTCAGTCAGCAGAACACACTACTACAGCGAGGAAGCGGCTTTCATTCTGGCTTTACTAGTGGCTGCAAATACATCTGCAGAATCCTGCTGCTAGAGGTTGGGTTTGAAAGCAGGGCTACATGTTTGGCTGGAAGGGGATCTGGAACCTTCTTTTTTTCCACAAGGCTTTCAGTGATATTGGCCAACTCCCCCGTCCCCCACGCCACATCCTGATAGATAGAGAGCAGAGACTCTCCCGTCACCGCCAGCTAAATTCCTCTAGGTAATTTATTACTTTTAATGTGCTAGTTAATTACATAGTGAATTAAAAATGCATTTGTCATGGTGCTTGTGCTGTCCTCAGGCTCCACCGGGAATCCTCTCCATCCAGCCCTACAGACGGAGGAAAAGGAAACACAGGTGAAAGGTCAGACAACAGGACTGCAGCATAGCGCTTGCATGGGGGGCTCAGTGATGAATGGACACACCTCTTGAGTGGATACCCAGGAAACAAAGCAGTGCCTGTGACAGCCCCCATCTTTGATTCCAGGGACTGAACTGGGGACCGCCAGAATTAAGGTGTGAGTTAGAGAGCCAGGCTCTCTAGCTTGGGACTGTCACAGACTCGTGTCCTCTGGGGATCAGGTACCAAGTGGAACACATAACACACGCTGATCAGTGGGTTGCAATTGAACAGAGGTGCCAGGGCATAAGGGGCAGCATTCAAAGCATGACTGGGGCTCTCAGACGTAGAACGAAGTGTGAATCTGGCTATGCTCTTGGGTATGCTAGCTCTGGTGTACCAAGGCTGAGAAAAGGCATGTGACTCTAGCCACTTTCCTGTGGACACAGGTTCTGAATCACATGGGCTGGAGGAAGGATGCCAGCCCCAGGGATGCAATGGGAATCCAGCTATGCTCTAGGAGACAGGGCCTAGGATGCTAGGGCTGGCGCAATGCAACATGATCATTAAGAGAAGCCTTTACCTGAGGTTTACTTGAATGTGTGACTCTCGGTACCGCCCCGGCCAAATCCTGCAAGAGAACCAGAATGAGGTCATTACCACCTGAGGCATCAGAAGCAGGGAGCAGGAACCAGTGCCGTGGCTGTGAGAGCCCTTGGGCTAGTGAGACCACTGCCTTTCCTGCTGACCCATATTCTCCCAGACCATCCGTAGCCGTCTGTCGTTCTTCTCTTACACTGATTGGCAGCTCTTTGGGGCAGGGGCTGCTGTGTTTGTACAGTGCAGCGGGGCCCTGGTCCACGACAGGGCTCCGAGGCACTATTGCAATACAAATAAGAGCGAGCGCAGTGAGAGACACGCCTCCCGGTGCCCTGGAACTGCCACAGAGTGCAGAGACCAAACACAACATCCAAGCTGGGGGAAGAACGATGACCACAGCCTGAATATTCCCAGGGCCATGAGCCAAAGGCCTAGTAGACACCTCTGACGGCCCACCCATGGCTTTAGAGGGGACTGGGACAGAGCCGTCTGCAATACGGCATTTCAAATGGAAACCACTCACACACTGGGGCCCAACTTGCCTCCAGATAGAGAGGGAAACACTAACTGGAGTACAGGGGAGCTGGAACGAGAGTCAGAGCTTTTAATAGCTGGGTCACTAGCTCAACGTGGCCCGCGGCCAGCAGTGACCCAGTGCACTAAGGGCTGAGAGCCGGGCAGCAGCCTGTGTGAAGTGGGACAGGGGGTTCTAGTCACTCAGTGGCACAGGAGTCCATGTCACAAATATAGGAGCACTAGCTAGCTAGCCCAGAGTTGTCAGCCTCAGTGGAAAGGGCGAGCAAGGAGCATATGGGCTGTGGGCTGAACTCCCTTCTCAGCAGGAGCACGCTGACAGGAGGCAGGCCCCGGGGAAGCCAGCACTGGAGCTGCTCCTGCCATGCCCGTCCTCTGCAGACACAGGGGATTTCAGTCCCATTTTTAGCAGCAGCAAATTCATGTTCAAATTGCAGGAACTGGACTAGGAGACCTCTTGAGGACCCATCCAGTCCTACACGTCTATATAAAAACAGTTCATAGTGCAAGTCCCCTCCCTACAGAATGCTGGAAGTGAACAGTCCCCCTGCTGGTAGCCCGAGCCCTGTCATGGTCTGTTAGAACTCCAGCCCTACAAGTGCTGATTAGACCCAGCCCACAGAGCATTTCAGGGGGCCTATGTGCGGGGAGCAACGAGTGGCTTTTCCCTCCAGGGGATTGGCTCCAAAGAGCAGGAGCATCACAAGGGGAAAGGAGCTCAGCCCTATAGCCATGGAATCCCTGCCTCAACAGCCCGGACAGCACTCAGCCCCTGCATGGCTGTGAAAGGGACTGGCGTGTGAGCACCCGTTACCCAGCCTTGTGGGGCTGCTCACAACAGCACCCCCAGAGCTCGCTCCTGCTCCCCCTTGGGGAGTCGCTGAAAAGGAGGCTGGGGAATGACCTGCCTGCCCCTTCCCCGCCAGCCTGAAGACCAGGAGAGGGAGCCATTCGAGGGCAGCCGATTGGCTGGCACAAGGTGCGCTGGGAGCAGCCCTGGCAGAGACACTGCCTCCCCGAGGTGCAGCTCCACCCCGCCCCCTGCAGGGCTGTGGTGGTAGCATCCCAAGACAAGAGCAGCAGGAGGAATCAAGGGTGATGCCTAAAGAGGCCAAGTGGCACAAAGGGTGTGGAGTCCTCCTGGAAAGCTGGCTCCAGCTGAGGGTGCCAAACATTGAAAACCAGGTCCAGGGGAAGGGCTAGGACTGGACAGGTTGAACATGGGGCTAGCAGCCCGGGAGGCAGCTGCCTACCCCTGGTGGGGAACATGCCTCTGTGATGGGGTTACTGGGCGATGGCTTCCCTCTGGGGAAGGGACTTGAAACCAGGTGACTGAGGGAAGGAAACCCCTGTTGCATGTGGGAGGAACGTGGTCACCGTGTGGGTTATCTTTCAATTTACCCTCCAAACCAGCTGTGCGGAGCAGTGTGCCACTCTGCCCTTCTCTCTGCTGTCCCAGAGCTCAGGCTGCAGCCCAAGCCAGAATAATTAAATAGCCCCTTAGCCTGTTTAATTGCAGCTGGCACAGGCCAGCCATGGGTGTCTGATTGCTGTGTAGGTGTACCCTCAGTGCTCTCCTTCCCTGCCACAATCCTACCCAGGCTGCATATTCAGGAATTAAGGAATCTGAACTGGTGTCATCAGGGTTCCAGCTACTGACGTGCTAGCTCTGCCCTGGCAGTAGGACAGCAGCTCCTCTGAGCCTGCTGAGGTGTCTCGGGGGGATACAAGTGGGTCCCAGCCTCCGGAGACTGAGGATGCTGCTCCTCCTAGCAGCAGGAGGGGGCAGGCTACAGTCACTCTTGACTCTAGTTCTCCCACCCAATGGCCTGGCGTTTTACCCTTGTAGCTTCTAGAGATAAAGAGAAGGATTCCATGTTCCCAGCCAGCCCACATGCTGACAAGCAACAGCTGCATAGCTCAGCCAGGGGTCTGGCTGACTCGTTGTCCAGCGTAGCCCACTAGCTGCTGTTAAGGCTTAAGCCAATATCCTGCTGACTTGGAGTGGCATGTAGATGACACTTCACGTTACACCCCAGCAGCCACAGAGTGGATGGCGGGGCAGAAATTCAAGTAGAATTCCACAGCCTCTAGCATTGGCGCCACATCAACAATCGCATTCAGCAAATCACATTCCAAAGGAGTGCGTATTGAACCTGAAACCAAAGAGCTGGGGGGGGGGGGGGGGGGGGAGGAGAGGGAGCTGCAGCAGGGAGGGGAGAATTCAGACCTGTAACTCAAAACTTTCTAAAGCTTGCTGAGTCGCAGTGTCTGGAGCCCCACAAGTTTTGAGATTCCTTCTCTTCAGCATTCTCATCTCTTCAAAGCGTCTAAGAGGTTCTGGCAAATTGCATGGGCTTGTGGGTTTTCACACCCTTCAATCTGTGACTACACAGCTGGGTCGGGCAGCGTGGCTGGCCTGTGAAAGCACACTAGACTACCTCACTACAGTGAAATGTGCAAAGCACTTAAGTCGACTCGTGCCGTGTCCAGATGAGTAGGCCCATTTGTGCCATCACTCACACGGGTACAATGCCCACCAGCTCCGAGGAGAGTCACACCTGTGCAACAGAGGAAAACTGTGACTGTAGAATCTGAAGATGGGGAGGGTGAGATTTCTTCCAACACTCAGGGTACGTCTACACTACAGCGACAGTTACAGCGCTGCAATTGTGCTGCTGGAGCACTGCAGTATAGATACTTCCTACAATGACAGAAGGGGTCTGGCTGTCAACGCAGGCAATCCACCTCTCTGATTGGAGGTAGCTAGGTCAATGGGAGAATCCCTCTGTCGACCTAGCCACCTCTATATCACGGGTTAGGCTGACCTAACTACAGTGGTCAGGGCATGAAGCTAGATTGACCTAAATTATAGGTATAGGCCAGGCCACAGCATTGACCTAACTCTGCTCCAGCCGAAGTAAAAAGCAAAATTCCCATTGACTTCGGAGGTGGGCCAGCGCTGAGACCTTTTGAACATCCTACCCAGAGAGAAACCACAGTGTAGATCCAGAGGAGCACCTCTTCAGCCAACGTGACCAGAGACTGTGAGAGACAGAGCTTCTGCTCCAAAGGCCACAATTCAAGTTTGAGGCAGTGCCTACAAAGCGGTCAAGGGAAAGTTGCCCAGCCCCTGGAGAAAGGGGAAGGAGGCGTGTGTGGATGTCGAAGGGTGACTGCACACCCTTCAGCCGTATGAGTAGAGATTGTGAAGGGGAGGACAGGTGTAAAGTGTAATGGGTGTAGGTGTATTTAGGGGTGTGCACATGGCTCTAGCGGTTTGCCCCCGAGTTTAGGGACATATGAGGGAAGACAAGGGGACAAGGGACTAAGGGGGAGTGGCTGTGGGGGTGCATGAGGGGCTTGTGAGCTGGGAGTTCAGGCAGGAGAGGCTGTGGATGGACGCAGGGATGTATGTGCATGGATCTGTATGCTGGAACATGTGATCATGCTTCTGGGCAAGAACCCCAGGAGACAGACACCACTGGTGCCAGTACCCAATATCCAGCCAGGGAGACGTGGGAAGCCCCAAGCATGGAGAAACTTACCTTTGGGTCCAAACAAAGCAGCATAGCACGGCTGGTTGCAATAGGGCTTCCCATCATGCTGCAGAGAGAGAAGAGACTCCTCAGTGCCACATTACTCAGGGGAGTCTGAGACGAGCAGGGCCCAGGAACTGGGCATCAGAACAGGCACTGCTCAGTCACTGGGCCCACTCTTAACCCTGTGAGTATGGATCTAGATTAACAACTCCTGGGCCCTGCTCTCTTGTCCCAGCTGTGTCAGTGACCTCCCCTACTGCCTGCTCTTCCAGTTCTGGGCCCTGCCATTATTCTGCCAGTCACCCCGAGTGGAGTCCTGACCTCACTACAGCTTTGCTAAACTAAAGAAACAGAAACGTGCCAGGAGAGCCAAATCAGAGCCTTGTCTAAGGTCCACTCACGTTCCTCCTCACCTTAGACCTGCTCTGGACATAGGTCTCTGGATAAAGCTAGGGGACCCTGCACCACCCAGCCCACAATCCTAGTGACACTCTGCCCTGTTACACGCAATGGGGAATTCCCTCAGTTCCCTACAGGATTTCTCCAACTCGGCAAATCCCCCCTCCAGGGGACCTGGACTGGCCCAATGTCTCTGCCCTGTCAGGTTAGTTCAGTTATTATGGCACCCCCCTCACCGGGCCATCCTGGTGCTAGCAAACCAGCCTGCCCACACACACAGCAAGCCCACAGCTTGGAGCTGACTAATGCAGAGTTCTTGCTACTTCGAGGCAGGGCCCCCAGGTATCCCATATTCCATGGAATCAACCAAAGAACTCACCTCTTGCTGCAGAATCTCAGCTTCCCTCTTTTAAAAGTCTATTTCTGGCCCTCAAGTCTGAGACCTGAGTAACTGATGCAGCAATGGCTGCCTGCATCTGCAGAGCGCTTGAACCAATAGCTCCAAGAGCTGTGAACTCCCCGCTCATCTCAGGCAGGGCCCAATGCACACTGTGATTCTGCAGCAGTGGAGCTTGCCATTGGCCCCAGGATGCCACGGAATGCAGCCCTCTTGCCCTGGCATTAGCTGTTTTGCTGCGGCCAGACCCTCTCTGGTCATCTGCAACCTGCCATTTGCTCTCCAAATTTCCCCACAATGGGGAGATGATTTTACTGTGCACAGCACATGCACTAGGAGTCCAGCTTGCAGCCAAGGAGCAGGGAGAAGCCAGAAATGTAGGCTGGTTAACTAGGTGGCCTGGAGATCTCCCAGCAGTCCAGGCCTGGGGCAATGAGCCGCTGAAGCTTGCTATAAGCTCCCTGCTTCCGGGGGTGAAGGAGGGTCTGAGCCGGACAGCACTGCAGGAGCAGAGGCCAAGGGACCAGAGCCAGGCTGGCTGGAGAGTACAGTGAGAACCCCACCCTCAGAAATACCCAGCAACAATTTGTACCTCAGTGAGCCTTACAAGTCTGAGGCTGTGCGATGAGTGTGTGTGAGGGGGATGGGAACAAGGGTACTGCATGGTGCGGGGATAAAGTCATGCTGCTGCAGAATTTCGGAGCTGGGGCTGTGAAATACGGGCCCCTTGTGCTGTGGAGTACCTGGGAATCCACTTTGCAATGGCAGCGTGCACTATGCTTCCACCCACAGGTGAGGGGTATAAAGAAGCAGCTGATTAAAGCTTCTTGACATGTCTGTCCTAAGCGTTGGAAGATGCAGCTAAGAGTTACAGTGACACAGAGCTGGTGGCCACCTCACCCCTTACCTCAGCATGGCCACCTGAAGTCAGGGTCTTGTTGCATTTCTCACACTTCAAGCATGGTCGGTGCCAGTCTTTCCCCAGGGAGGTAACCTTCTCAGCTGTCAGAGTGCAGAAACAAAAGAGCACCATTCAGGAGGCTGTGATAAGGCATATGCACCCCACACCGAGCCAGCAAGGGTTGGCAAGCTGCTGTGGGCCCTCAGCCCCACCCCGCTACACCTGCACTCGCTGTCAGGTATCGGAGGGGCTTTTCACGAGGGAAGAGAACAGCTCAGGAGCTGGCTGGCCAGCCCAGGAGAACAGCCCTTTGTGCCCAGCCCAGCCCCTTTGCATACAGCCCAGCCTCTCTGCAGAGACTGCTGGAGCCCTCCGGAGGAAGGTATGGCTGGCACAGGATGACTGAGTTCGTCTTCTTCATGGCACCGCTTCTTTGCTTTACTACGTAAGGACTCTGGGGCTGCCTGTGTGGGCTGGGACAGGCCAGAGAGGTGTAAGGAGACTGTCACAGGGAAAAGATGCCACGGCAGAGGTGGGGAGCTGCTTCAATAAACTCTGTGAACTTTTGCACTCTACATGCGTCTGTCCTGGACCCAAACAGTGTGGTCACTGTAAGAGTTCCATACTTGGAAAAATGCCTTGTGTTCCCAATGATTAAATCCAAAAGCTACTGGGGCATCTCTCATTCCAGCTTTCAGTGGGGCTCACTCACTGCTTGACACTTGCTTGTCCTGGAGGGAGACTGACAGTTTTCAAATTCAGACACCTACACTGCACTTGCAAAATAAATAAAAATCCATGCAGCCCATGCGTGTGCGTGGGCAGAAAAACAGGCAATAGCATGCGTAGTGCTTGCTTTGCACACACAAAAGCATGGCTTGCACAAGCATTTTTCACACAGGCTTGGGTGTCTGATTTCTAGGCAAATTATTGCCAGTCGGAAGATTTGAGCTCTGAAGCGCTTGCTGCGTCATTACCTCCCCATTCCTTTCTGGAAGGGCCTATGCGTCTCCATTTGACACAGATTCATTACTGTTCACGTTAAAACTTGTTCAGATGGGGAGACTTGCAGAAGGAAAATGGCAACAGAGTCAAATTTAGGGAACACCAGAGTACAGCCAGCCCTCACCCAGCACGGAGGACTGCCCTCCTCTAGTCTAGTAGAAATTCTTCTGCATAAATTGGCATCTGAACTTGAAAACCAGTGACCTCAGTTGACACTGGTTACAATAATCCCTTAAATTCCAAGGTAACGATCCCTTTTGGCACATGTGAAAACCTGTCTGACAATCATGGGGGGAGAGACACCTGGACCAACACTGGGAAGCAAAGTATTGCAAAACATCCTTTTTCCAACCCACAAATACAGGGAACCTCCTGCCGTCAGGATGTTGGGGACACATTTCTTGCTAAAAGCCACAGCAAACAGTAGTGTGCTTGGAGACTGGCCTGGGTTCAGGCAACTGAAGACAGCCCCAGAGGCAGCTAAAAAAGGAACAATGAGGTTACTCCCCTAGTCCGGAACAGGTTTACATTAGGAAAGAACACAGGATGGAATTTAACTATAGCACAAAGGATGTAATTTGCTAAAGAGGCTAGTGTGTTCTTTCTATTAGCAGCTGCACTCACGGATGTGTATTAAGTGATAACGCTGAGCTTTCCACAGGAACCCTTTCAGTGCCAGGACCTTCGAGTGGATTTTCCATGCCTGAAAAAGGCAGGGGACTGGGCTCGGGGACAAAATTTCTTCCTATGCACCAATACCTCTCCACTCTGTGCTCTGCTGCTGCAGCAGAGTGCTGGGTGAGAAGTGCTGCTCTGCCAGTTCTTTGGCACTACAACTCCTTTTCTGGGTGGGCAGAGAGCCTGTGACTTGGGTGTGACCATTAACTCCAGGAGAGAAGTGATCACTAGAGAGGGGATCTCAAAATGCTCCTAGCAGGCAGGCCCCACATCACAGACACCAACATCATGGCGTGAAATGGCACCCTTGTTTGTAGCTCCAACAAGCGGGCCAGGGACTATCTGAGGAAGGGGGCATGAGCCCAAATTCAAGTCAGAGGGCCACCCTGCCTCAGGAGGCGCACGCTGCTATGGAATTCTATAGCCTGATTTTAAAAAGTTCTCCGGAAGGATGATTGCTCTGTTACATTTAATAGGGCTGGGGTGGGGGGGGAAGACATGCAACTTTTATTTATATTATTATTTATTATATTATAACCCAGAGGGGGCCACCTCTGTAGGTTAGGAGTGAGGCATGATGGGGTGGGGGGCAGCACCCTCTGCCATGCCTGTTCTACATCTGAAAGAGATGCTGAGCCTTTCTTTTTATTCCAGGGTTTCTGGGAGGAATTCAGACTCCAGGAATGTCACTCGGGCACCTTTCACCCCTATTGGAGGAATGTTTAGAGAAGCCTATCACTGCCTAGGCACTATATTCCCAGTGACTGGGACTTCTCACCAGGAGAGCTTCCAGACTCTGGTGCTGCAATCTCCCCATGGAGGTAATGATTTAGTGCTGATGAAGTGATCAGTCTTCGCTGCACTCCTATGATCCTGCTTTCTCTCCCCTTTATGATCTGTCAAACATATCAGCTGAAATCCCATCAAGGACCATTGAAGTAGCTCATTGAATTAACAGCCAGGCCCCTCAGGTTCCAGCTTGGAGTGAAGAACCAGACGGTGTAAGTGAAATGTAGTTAAGTGGCAGCTAAATCTGAGCAAAAGACACCACATACCAGCCATACAAAACCTCCAGTATTGGGACTCTTAGCTGAGAGATGCTGTATTTTTCTTTTTATTCCAAGACTGCTTATACAAGATCAGTGTTACTGCTATGATCTTAGAAATAAGAGCTTACAACTGATTTTGAACTCTCCTTGGCCTTTGCATTAAACTCGGTCTTGTACAGCTGAGGTCATATGACTAACTTCATAAAAACAGCACTTCCTTGCTCAACAGACCCATTGCACTTACAAAGCCACATCTGCTTACTTCACTGCACAGTATCTTTCACTCCTGTTAGCTCTGCGGGGCTAGACCAGCTGTGTGAATGACAGCTGAATTCATTTCTGAGTTGATCAACTGAATTAATAATGATAGATTGAGAGTATATAGTGTTTATACCCAGAGATGTGCAAACCAGAACAAAACCAACCTGACTTAGACCCGGGGGTTTTAGGTGCTGACAGTTCTATTAAAACCTTTTTTTACTAGTAAGCTTAGCAAATATTACCTGGAGTAAATGAGCTGTCATAGACGTGAAACTTCACAATGCCAATTTTAGTCACCATTCCAAGTAGAACTGTACTTTAAGGGGAGGTTTAAGCTTTGTTTACACTGAGGAAACTTACAAAAAATTCCCATGTGCTACTACCACTTTATTGGAATGGGTGTTAGCACCAATAGTGTAGACAAGGCTCTTGCCACCAGGACTGATTTTTACTCCCTTTTGGTTGAATCTATTGAAAGTAAGTAACTAAAATGTTGGTAAAAATGGGTTCAGCTATCAGAATCTTGTCTATACCTGGCCTCCAGCCAGTGCTAACCCCAAGTCGGGATTCTTTAGTAAATTTCTCTAGTGTAGGCACTATCTTAAATGACAGGCAAATATGAATGGATGGGAAAACAGAGAAACAGTTAAGTCTCCATCACAGAGAGCTGGAACGTACAAACTCTGGAATTCTTGTGTTCTGAGCCATTCCCTGATTATTATTTTTCTGGCATAGTAGACAGAAAAGTACAACACACCCCACAAGCAAACCAGAAATATAAAACAGAGAAAGAAAAAAAAATCAATGTGTTCCCAGTCCATGGCTTACAGATTTAGTCGATAAATTTAAAAAATAAAAGTACTTATAGGGCCAGCATCCACTTCTAACTCTCAGCAAAACACATCAGAGTTTTTATGCCAGGGACATGGGGAACCAAGAGATTGGGGAACTTCTGTATGTGGTTTTAGTAGATGGAGTTAAATGATTGCAGCAAAGGTTATTGCCAGGACTAGCTACCCAAACCTCTTGAAATACACCCATGGCAGGAAGTGGGATCATGTCACCCAATTAAGTACTCTGAGTCAGTACAGAAATCTGCGGCTTTTTTGAAATTCCTTCCAAATCAGGGTGTGGTCATCCATCTGCTCCTTACTAGGGGCTGGATCCAACGCCAAGGGGAGTCAGTGGAAGTCGGATCAGGCCCGAAGTCTGTTCAAGGCATATAGTGATAGTTTTAAGAAAAACAAGCCTTGGAGATACACGTATCCTCTGCGCTGTAGCCTTATTACAATAAGACATTCACGATTACATGGTGCCCTCTGTTACGCCCAGGTACTAATGACTGTGATCAAAGGCAGAATTTGCTGTTCAGAATCTAACTAATTTGCCTTGTAAAGTTTTTAGGAACCACTTTAACTGATCCTGGTGTTGGACTCTGGACTGGAGTGTCCAGAATCTCTGGGTGGCTCACTCCCTGCCCATCCAGTCTGTCCACCTTAAGCAAACAGCTATGATGAAGCTGTTGGAACAAACAAACAAAATATTAGCTTGGAGGGAAGTGTAACATGGCAGTAAGCCAGCGCCTCTGAACCACGCCTCTAGTGATTTGCCTCAGTGCCCATCAAATGGCTTGGAGACAATCAAAGCACTGAGGCTCCATGTTAACCTATTCTGTTCAGTGGGGCAGACGTCCTGAGAGGAAAGGGCCTTGGTACAATGACTTACAAGACGTTCCAGCACAGAAGAAAACAAAAAGGGAGTAAGTTGCAGTGGGGGAGGTCTAGGTTGGATATTAGAAAACACTATTTCACTAGGAGGGTGGTGAAGCACTGGAATGGGATACCTAGGGAGGTGGTGGAATCTCCATCCTTAGAGGTTTTTAAGGCCCGGCTTGACAAAGCCCTGGCTGGGATGATTTAGTTGATGTTGGTCCAGCTTTGAGCAGGGGGTTGGACTAGATGACCTCCTGAGGTCTCTTCCAACCTTAATCTTCTATGATTCTAAGTTGCAGAAGGATCTCCCAGAGCAGCTCTTCAGAGGTGTCCATTTGCACACACAACGTATTGTTGCAAGTTCTCATATGTACGTTTGGTGACTTCTGAAAGACCTGGCCTCTGATTCATGGTCACCCTTCATGACTGGCAAATGGTGCAAACCATCACCATTCATCCTTAGGAGCAGAGCAAATCATTGAGGTTTTTGGTCTGCTGGCCAAATTGAAAAATTCACTTTGTTTCTAACTGAACCGGATTTCTTTTTTGGTTTCTCACAAATAAAAAACCTCCCAAAATTGTGTTTGGGTAAAATGAACTGTTTTGAAGATGATGACTCAAAACAAAATATCCAAATTTGCAAAATGAACCGTACTGATAATTCCAAAATTTGTTTTCAAGGTTTTTTCAGCCGAAACTATTTGCTGAATTTGACCTGAAGTCACGAATAGTTTCAGTGCCCTGAAAAATGCATTTTTCAGCAAATTTCCTGTCAGCTCAAAAAATTTCACCCAGATTTACTTGGTAGAGCTCTGTGCTCATCTTGAACTGGTGTAAATGACCACACAAAGCACAGGGACTGATGAATTGAGCCCCTGATATAAAAGATCTAAAAACAGAGCATTAGTTGTTTGACATGTTTGCCTCTGGAACCAAATGGTCACCGACAGTACTAGCTACTGCCAGAAGAATCCTCTTTAGACGTTAGACAGAAGATACACAATGGACACAGCTTAGATGGAAACATCTCAGAATCAAAAACAGATTCAGTGTCTAATACTAAAATATAGCCCATCCCCCAGCCCTCCCTCCCTTTTAGAAGTCAGCATACCTAACCACTCAGACCCACACAAACAAACTCTTTATTTTCTACACTCTCTCCTTTCTACTGTTTTCTCCAGATCTTCTTCTTTCACCCCCAAATTACAATCTTGTGTCCTAGACACAACTTCCCAACTGTTACACATTTACATTTGCTATTATATGGATGGCTGGACTTGCAAGACATATGGCAAGAACCTATTTTATATTTCTCTACCAAACCTCAACAACAAACAGCCCTCACCTATAATAATAATAATAATTGTGTACCTGTCCAACTGTTCAGCTAAAACGTGCAGCTGAACAGAGAAATGGCAGGACCTCTTGTATATAGAAATTGATACGGTTTCACTCATTTTATAGAACACTGTGTGGTTCTTGGATTCTGAAGATTTTTTTTCACTGTGTAGAAGGGAACAGGAGACTTCCTCGATGATGGGCAGCTATATGAGAACATACGTATTTTCACTGGCTTTGGATATTATCTCTCAACAGACTTCAAAAACTGTATCTGTCTGTGGACTCAGAATCCAATGGGACAGTATAAAAGCACTACAATGAAACGGTTTAAAAACTACAATGGAAATTCCCCCCATCTTATGTACTTTGATATTTCTCACTAATTAACCAGGAAATCTTTGGTTTTCTAGGACTATCAATTATACCAGTGGTTCTCAACCTGCATCTGGTTTGCAGTCCAATCAGCACATAGCTGCAGTCCATGTAACATCCTCAGGGCCATACAGGTAGTAAACATATTGGGTGGGTGTGGCCCATATAACACATATTTGAAAACCACTGGTTTATACAAATGGATTGCCAGTTCCTCTAGACATTACTAGAGATCTGAAGGCCTAAGGCGCATGGGCTATGGGGGGGGGGAGGAATTAATTACAAAGAACTTTTTATTAATGATAATTTGTAAAGAGAACTTGTTAGGTTTTGAGAGCGCTTCCTCGCTTGTAAAGCATACAGCTGTCTGCAATAGTTTGCTGCTGTTCAAGTCTCCTTACTCATAGCTGGGAGGCATGCAAGAGATCCATAAATCAGAGCATCTTCCTAAGGCTGCAGGGAGGCCCAGGGAGAGGAACCCTGCTCGGACTCCTCCTCCCGCCATGGCTCTGCACAGCCTCCGTGCCAGTCAGCTTTCCCCAGCCCTGCCCGCTCAGAGCCCCTGCACAAGGGGAGAGGGGGCAGCGCTTGCCCTTGATGTTAGCGGGAGTCTGTGCAGCCTACACAGCCCAGCTCAACCCGTGAGGACCAGCACTAATACCGGTCTGCTGGAGCCCTGCAAACTCAGCTCCTTCCAGGCTGCATGAGACCCCCGAGCCATGCAAGCAGAAGGGGGGGGGGGATTTTGAGCCCTTCTCACAGAAACCGGGGGGTTCTCAGACGGCTTGTCCCGGAACACTGATCTCCTCCCACAGGGCTGGGCAGGGGGCAGTGATGACAGCAGCGCTGGGCACGAACCAAACACCAGCTGCAGCAGCAGCATGTAGCCAGCGCAGCCTGGGTCCCGGCCCGGGCAATGGGCGCCCCTACCCCACCCACCTGTGCTGCTGCCAGGGCGCTGGGCTGTGCCTCAGTGGGGAGCTGGGTGCCAGGGAGCCTGTATAGACAAGGGGGGTGCAGGAGGCAGGGCACCCCCATTTAGAAGCTGCGTTCAGGGTCAGGCAGGTGGGCTGTACCCTTGCAGGGGGCTAGGAAGGTGAGTGTAGGAGCAGAGGGTTGGGCAAGGTCTCTAGCCGCCCCTACAGAGCTCTGGTGCCAGGGAGCCCATATAGAGAGGGGGTGCAGCAGGCAGGGCACCCCATGGGGGCAGGCAGCCGCAGAGTCCCTGGCACCCCCAGCAGGGAGCTGGGTGCCAGGCACCCCATGGGGAAGGTGGAGCAGGGGCAGACAGGGTGCCTGGCAGCCCCGGCAAGGAGCTGGGTGCCAGGAGCAGGGCACGCGTGGGGGCGGCGGGGGCCATGGGCAGGCAGTGCCGGGGCAGGCGAGGAGCGGCGCCCTTACCGAAGTAGACCTCCTTCTGGCAACGGGGGCACTTGGGCATGGTGGTAGCTCCGCACGGGCTGGGCTCTGCGCTGGCTGCTGCTGGAGTTCCTCTGCTGCTCGGGGCTGCCCGCGCCGGCAGGGTCACCCCGCGGCCCCGCCCGTGAAGCCCCGCCCCCCAGCTGTGCTGCCTGCGCAGGGGGAACCCTGGCACAGGGGCAAGGGAGGGAAGACGGGCGGGACGGAACTGGCGTACCAGGGCGGGACGGGGCGGTGGGGGAGGGCTGGGCTCGGGGCTGGGGGGGTGGAGTGGAGGCGCTGGTGGACAGAGGGGGATGGGGGGAATCAAGGTGCATCTCCTCTCCTGGCCCTAGTGTCCTGTTGATTTTTGCCCCACGCTCTTTCCTAAACCCAGGGGCTCCCCCCGTTCCTGCCACCAGCCTGCTGCTCCTTCAGGACATTTGGCCCTTGGGAGCCAAGAAGCAGCACACTTGGTGTCAGGCCCCCAGACTGGCCCAGATTCGTCGCCAGGGGCTCCAGAGCTGCGCTGGTGGAGCAGAGACGGGGGCATTGCGGCCACAGTGGGAGTTAATCACCCACTGCCCTCACCCTGTGGGGCAGCAGGTGGGGGCTCCAGTTGAGATCAGGCTTAGGGCTAGTCAGGAATTGTTCAACAAAACATTTGTTGTCAGAAAACACTGACTGGTGACACCAGAACCTGCCAGGGGACCGTGTCAGTTTTGATTATTTCTGTTCTCAGCAGGGACGGCTCCAGGCACCAGCGCAGCAAGCGCGTGCCCAGGGCAGCAAGCTGTAGTGGGCAGCCTGCCGGTCACCATGAGGGCGGCAGTCAGGCTGCCTTTGGTGGCATGCCTGCGGGAGGTCTGGTGGTCCCGCAGCTTCCGTGGCAATTCAGCAGCGGGTACGCCGAAGGCGCGAGACCGGCGGACCTCCCGCAGGTATGCCGCCGAATACGCGTTACCAGTGGACCGCCCGCAGGCGTGCCACCGAAGGCTGCCTCACTGCCGTGCTTGGGGCAGCAAAATACATAGAGCCGCCCCTGGTTCTCAGAAAGGTTTGTCAGGTCCCAGATGGAATTTCTGGTCAAAACCAAAGCCAGAGAGACTGGCCACCAACCCGGGGAAGGGGAACCCAGGTTCAAGTCCCTGATTCAGGACAGAGATTTGAACCTGGTCTCCTACATCCCTGGGGAGCACCATGTGCATGGGGCTATTGACTAGGCAGGTTGGTGGTTTCTCTCTCTGGAAGGTCTCTGTTTTACCCCAATGCAGAATGGGAACATTTCTGAAATCTTGACAGTTTTCTTGGGAGAACTGTTTTCTACAGAACTGTATGCATAGACTCATAGACTTTAAGGTCAGAAGGGACCATTATGGTCATCTAGTCTGACCTCCCGCATGATGCAGGCCACAAAAGCTGACCCACCCACTTTCCCTTAACTCAGCTGTTGAAGTCTCCAGATCGTGATTTAAAGACTTCAAGTTGCAGAGAATCCTCCAGCTTGGGACCCCTGCCCCATGCTGCGGAGGAAGGAGAAAAACCTCCAGGGCCTCTGCCAATCTACCCTGGAGGAAAATTCCTTCCCAACCCCAAATATGGCGATCAGTAGAACCCCGAGCATACAGGCAAGATTCTCCAGCCGGACCCTCATTTGTACCAGCGATGGCACGTTATTGCCTAATTGACTAAAATCACGTTATCCCATCAAACCATTCCCTCCATAAACTTATCTAGCCTAATCTTAAAGCCAGAGAGGTCTTTCGCCCCCACTGTTTCCCTCGGAAGGCTGTTCCAAAATTTCACCCCTCTGATGGTTAGAATCCTTCGTCTAATTTCAAGCCTAAACTTCCCCACAGCCAGTTTATATCCATTTGTTCTCGTGTCCACATTAGTACTGAGCTGAAATAATTCCTCTCCCTCCCTGGTATTTATCCCTCTGATATATTTAAAGACAGCAATCATATCACCCCTCAGCCTTCTTTTGGTTAGGCTAAACAAACCGAGCTCCTCGAGTCTCCTTTCATAGGAAAGGTTTTCCATTCCTCGGATCATCCTAGTGGCCCTTCTCTGTACCCGTTCCAGTTTGAGTTCATCCTTTTTAAACATAGGAGACCAGAACTGCACACAGTACTCCAAATGAGGTCTCACCAGTGCCTTGTATAACGGAAGCAGCACTTCCTTGTCCCTACTAGAAATACCTCGCCTAATGCATCCCAAGACCGCATTAGCTTTTTTCACGGCCACGTCACATTGCCGACTCATAGTCATCCTGCGGTCAACCAGGACTCCGAGGTCCTTCTCCTCCTCCGTTACTTGCAACCGATGCGTCCCCAGCTTATAACTAAAATTCTTGTTAGTCATCCCTAAATGCATCACCTTACACTTCTCACTATTAAATTTCATCCTATTACTATTACTCCAATTTACAAGGTCATCCAAGTCTCCCTGCAGGATATCCCGATCCTTCTCCGAATTGGCAATACCTCCCAACTTCGTGTCATCCGCAAACTTTATCAGCCCACTCCTACATTCGGTTCCGAGGTCAGTAATAAATAGATTAAATAAAATCGGACCCAAAACCGAACCTTGAGGAACCCCACTGGTGACCTCCTTCCAACCTGACAGTTCACCTTTCAGTACTACCCGCTGCAGTCTCCCCTTTAATCAGTTCTTTATCCACCTCTGGATTTTCATATCGATCCCCATCTTTTCCAATTTAACCAATAATTCCTCATGGGGTACTGTATCAAACGCTTTACTAAAATCGAGGTATATTAGATCCACTGCATTTCCTTTATCTAGAAAGTCTGTTACTTTCTCAAAGAAGGAGATCAGGTTGGTTTGGCATGATCTGCCTTTCGTAAACCCATGCTGTAATTTGTCCCAATTGCCATTCACCTCAAGGTCCTTAACTACTTTCTCCTTCAAAATTTTTTCCAAGACCTTGCATACTACAGATGTTAAACTAACAGGCCTGTAGTTACCCGGGTCACTTTTTTTCCCTTTCTTGGAAATAGGAACCACATTAGCTATTTTCCAGTCCAACGGTACCAACCCCAAGTTTACAGATTCATTAAAAATTATCGCTAAGGGGCTTGCAATTTCTCGCGCCAGTTCCTTCAATATTCTAGGATGAAGATCATCCGGTCCGCCCGATTTAGTCCCGTTTAGCTGTTCAAGTTTGGCTTCCACCTCTGATACGGTAATGTCAACCCCCCCTCCTTTATTCCCCTCTGTCCTGCTGCCTCTATTCCTAAGCCCTTCATTAGCCTTATTAAAGACCGATGCAAAATATTCATTTAGATATTGTGCCGTGCCTAGATTATCCTTAATCTCCACTCCATGTACATTCTTCAGCGGTCCCACTTCCTCTTTCTTTGTTTTCTTCCTATTTATATGGTTGTAAAACCTCTTACTATTGGTTTAAATCCCCTCGCAAGGTCCAACTCTACACGGCTTTTGGCCTTTCTCACTGCATCTCTACATGCTCTGACCTCAATAAGGTAGGTTTCCTTGCTGATCCCTCCCCTCTTCCATTCTTTGTACGCTTTCTGTTTTTTCTTAATCGCCCCTTTGAGACGCTCGCTCATCCAGCTAGGTCTAAATCTCCTGCCTACTAACCGTTTTCCCTTTCTCGGGATACAGGCCTCGGACAGCTCATGCAACTTCAACTTGAAATAATCCCAGGCGCCATCTGCCTTTAGATCCCTAAATATGTTAGCCCAATCCACTTCCCTAAGTAGTTGCCTTAATTTATTAAAGTTGGCCTTTTTGAAATCGTAAACCTTAGTCACAGTTTTAATTCTGTTAATCCTTCCATTTAGTTTGAACTGAATTAGCTCATGGTCACTCGAGCCAAGGAGTGAAAGCCAATCCCTGCCCTGAAGAAGTTACTATCTAAACAGAGAAATGAGAGGAGGGAGGATTACTGTCCCCAAGTTACACCTGGGGGGATGTGAGGCTCAGAGTGGATGCAATGACTTGGCTGAGGTCATGCTGTAGCCCTGGCTGACCCCTGCATTTTTGAACCATTGAATGAAAAGAGCTCCTGTGTCACACCCAGTGTCTTAACCACACAGCCATCCTTCCACTCGATATACAGTCCCACTTCCTTGGGTGCTGGGGTCAGCTGGCACACCCGGAGCACTGAGTCTGACAGGAAAGCATATTTTAAAAGGCCAAAGGAAGCACCAGGCTTGGATCTATTCAGGATCATCCTGGTCCTGGAGCAGTTTGTGCCAAGATAGGAAGCAGGCCCCACACCCCTGGGCTGTGCATTCTTAGGGGTGTGGTGGGGACCACATGTGCTTATTGGGAACATTTGATCATGTTTTTTTATTATTACTATTATTTGCTATGGGGAGTTGCTTTTCTTTTGGAATAAACCCCTCCGAGGAGTCCCAGATGCATTCCTGGGGGAAATCCTTTCTGTCTGGCTAGGAAGGAACTAAGAGCACTAGCTAAAGGCCTGTTTTGCATTAAATTATCCTCCTCCTGTATAGAGCACCAAAGCCAAAAATGTCAGAAATGAAATCAGGTGCCTAGCTGCAGCCAGCGAGGGGCTGTTGTCTGCGGGTAGTGAGCACCCACAATTCCAGGTGAAATCGACAGGAGCTGCAGCTGCTCAGCATTTCCATTAAATCAGGGCCCCTCTGTGTCTCAGGTTGGTTTTCTTCCTAGGGTTTATCTCAACTAGCTAGATGAAGGTAAAGAGCATTTCCCCTGTTCCAGGTTCAGGTTAAATTCATGGTTAAATCAGGATTAGCTAATAACTCTAATCTAATCTCAGCCTTTCTTCCTCAGCTAGACAGACCCCATCAGAGGCACATAAACCTGTATGTTATAGCACAGTTCTCTTGCTGTCCTCCTCAAACCAGGGTAAAAGCCAAAGCTCTGTGCTGATTTATAATCACCAAACCCCAGGAAAGGGGCTGTGGGTGGCATCTGGTCCTTAGAGGATGGCAGCTTTCCTGCAGAGTCTAGATTAGGAATGACTGAATAATGTCCTCCTAGCCAGCAGCACTGCATCTCACCCCTTACAGCAGGCAGGAAGCTGGACTGCTGTCCTTGGCACTTGGGGGAAGGGATTTCATGAATGAAAGCCCTGAAGCACCAGGTCTTGGCAAC